CTCGGAAAACACTGGGTGCAAGCTTTTCTGAGGCGTAGTCCGGCAGTTCGGACCCAGAAGTGCCATCACAGAGATTCGGCGCGTGTCAATGGCGCGTCTACCGAGGTAATTCGGCCTTGGTTCAACAATTCCTTCCTTCCCGAGATCCAGGCCATTAAGCCCGAGCACAGGTACAACATGGATGAAGCCGGCATCATGGAAGGGCTCGGGGAGAATGGACTGGTGGTTGGTAATGCCGAAAAACGATCTGTCCAAAAGAAAACGCCTGGTTCTCGCGTCTGGATGTCGCTGGAGGAAAGGTGTCGCTGGAGGAAAGGTGTCGCTGGAGGAAAGGTGTCGCTGGAGGAAAGGTGTCGCTGGAGGACAGGTGTTGCTGGGGGGAAGGTGGACATGTGTCATCCAGCGGGGCGGAAGGTGGACCAGCCCTCAGAGGGTGCTCAGCTTGATGGTAGCGCCCGCTTTGGCAGGATGGCACGCCTGCAGAACTGCGACACACCTCCTTCGTCGTGCCAATTTGCAGTGTGACGAGTAGCGGCTACCAAGCCTCTAGAGGTGCCGACGGTGATCGATCGCAGGGCGAGGAGCCAGTGACACCAAGGCAATGCCGCCAGTTCCAGGTCGGAGAGTACGCTGGGACAGGAGCTTTGGGGGTGGGGGATTCGCTGGTAGAGCATTCCGCTGCCTGGGAGTGGGTGGCAGGCCTGGTCGTCATCTTCCCTTGCTGCAGCACCGCCTCCCGGCGCAGCTCAAACAGCTGCAGCGCGCCGACAAAGTAGGTGCACTGGTGCTCGCGCACGAAGTTGGCGCCTTCGCGCGCGGCTCCACCACCACCAGCTGCGACTGCCCGCCCGGGCACCGACTTGCTCTTGATGTACTCCATGGCCGCTTCCAGTCGTCGCTGTCGAGCTCGCGCGATGGGCGCCTCATCTCGGCGTCGCACCACCGAAACTGCTCGTTGGCGATGCGCACCAGCTCCTCGGGCGAGTATGCCAGCAACTCGGCCTCAAGCTCGTGCAGCAGCGCCTTGGGCTTGGGGAGCGACAGCCAGACGCCGTCCATGCGCCATAGTCAGACCGTTGAAGCAGATGAAGTGAAAGTGAAGTGAGGGGTGTTGAGTGCCAACGGCGTCGAGGAGACGGCCCCTCGTTATTGATTCAGTCCTCCGGCTATCTTCTCACGCAACTCCCCTCCTTCCTTGTCTCCACACCACTTGGGTTTGCGTGGCCCGCTCGTTAGGATTTCCAGGTGGTAGGTGCAATATCCTCCATGCCCATTTGTGCCGTGGCCAGCTCGCAAGAGACAATAGCTTTGTCCAGACAACCGCAGTACTTGCGCAGCGGGCGTCTCTCTATCCTCATTGCAGAACTGGACATCCACCCATGGTGGTATGAGCCACATCGCAAAAGCTGGATACGAATGCACCTCAACAGCTCATGGCCAAGACGCCAACGCCCTGGCGGCCCGGCAGCACTCTCCAGGCCGCCAGAAAGGGAGGCCACAGACAAACCATGCAAGTTTTCTTGCATGAAAGAGTCAACGCCAGCGCCCAAGTTGAGCATTACTACACTCAGAATCCAGACTACAAGATCTATCTTAGCAGAGCAGCTGGCAACGACGGGCTGCTTAGACAGGCAGAAGCCGAGGACCTATTTCACGTTCTGAGGCTCAGCACCAGTCCCGACAGTTGTCCAAATCTCCACAGCACGTAGCCATCGTAAGTCAAGACGTACGATTACTGTACTTGATGCCCGGTAAGTGCAACAAGAATGAGACGCGATGAGATAGGAGGTTTGAAATCCGCTAGCTACAGTACCTAGAAGGCCCTCTGAAAGGCCGTAAGGAGCGGCCAGAAGAAAGGTTGCCTTCTTGTTCCACAGCTCCAAGATTCGGCCCAGCTTGTGGAGCTACAGTACAGCTAGGCTTGAAATGAAGGACATATGGACACCGGCCGCTGCTGCGACGGTGAACATTGCGTGTAGGTCGTCACGACTTGTCCGCTCATTGACTACTCGCGCTGCTGCAATTCCCCGCTTCCTGGACTGATACAAATGGTGACGCACACATTCCACTTCAGACCATCGTCCCTTGTTGGAGCCGTGACAGCCCGCACTTGCTGTATTTCGTACAATGTTCCATCTCCGGCCAAGGACAGCATAGGGACTTGTGAATGTGGCCGGCTCTGCCGTGGTGTGGAAGGCTGTGAGCAATTGGCCATATCCCGTGCGCCCTTGCGCACCGAAAGTGCGGAGACAGATAGGCTCCATAACCCCGGCCAAGGAGAAGCATGAATTGGCCCATGTGGTACAGTTGTCCGGTAGAGACTTTTCATTCCACACCGGCATTGCCATGGAGCCGGGGCGAGTTGTGGCATTGCGGAAACACGCGCCCAGTTCTGTATGGACATAGAGTAAGTGGACAGTTGACCAGACCCAGACGCCGCTTTCTGGGCGTCGTTGAGCGGTGTCTCTCGCTACCTTGTCTTCCGGTTCCTGACAAGCAGACCACACCGTTGAAGTGTGGTCAGGTGTGGTCAATCTGGCCCGCGCAGTCAGAAAGAAGAATTTGGATATGGGGCTGCATTCAGATGAGGTGGCAGCATGACACTCCGTGCCAAGCGTACTGTAGAAAGCGTCGTCCAACTCGTGTCATTCTGCTCGTTGATTTGGATTCGCGTATGGTGTGCCAGGGCCATGTGTCGTGCAATCCTTGACACCGCCGCGCGCCGTACGTCGTCCAGTTTTCGACATGCAAATTACTCTGTCAAGAGCGTGCGATTGTCCTGTTCCTCACATTGTAGTGACCCACCGATTGTTGGCTTCTTGGCGCGCCCTCTGCTTGCATCGCGCTTCCTCCGTTCCCAGCCGTTCGATCAGTAACGTGGAACATGTAAGTGGATACGGCGGCGGGACCCGCTTCGTCCGATGCCTGACATGCAGACCACCAAGGGCAGGGACGTGCGCCGACCAATTCTTCTGCGTCGTGTTGGTTTCTCGACATTGTTACGTAGCGACAGCCAGAACTTGCAGTGCAGATCATTGCGAAGTAGGGGGAAACCGCTTCGTCCAGTTCTTGCGTCGCGTGTGGCAGCTACAGTACATGTCAGCTTCTCAACGTGGTTGCATGGTGACGGGAGTTCTGCCGTGCAGATCATTGCGGAGTGGCGGCGGCCACATCGTCCGCCCGGGCAGTCGACATTCAGACCCGGACGAAGGTCGCCATGCGGGGCGCGAAGATGGACAAGAAGCCGTGGGTGCTAGTTCGTCCAATTCCTTCGTGTGGACGGCGTCGTCCGGTTCCAGACATGCCGCTTGGTGATGTGGAGTCTGCCCAGACGCAGTCGCAGGGTTTGTGCCGTCTACCCGTCGACTATGTCAATGGCGGACATTGTCCAAAGCTTGGCAAGCGATCACCGTAGCACACGCGCGGTCTTGGCGCATTCTTCAGGTACATACCTGTTACGTCGCAGCTGAAAGTCGGTTTCTTGACGTTGTCTAACGGCATCTCGTGGTGCCGCGTCCATCGCTTCCTGCCGTCCAGTTTTTGCTTGCCATTGGCTGGTACAGGTTATGTCACTTCTTGACGTCGTTTCGTGGTGTTGCGTCCATTTTTGCCAGACAGGACGTTATGGGGTCACAGGACCTGGTTCTGTATGTGCAGATCTAGTGCGGTAAGCTGCTGCCGCGTCCGAAGGCGGCCAGTTGTCCAGTTGGAGAGAATTGCAACGCCAGTGACACCGAAAGGCAGAAACCAGCCTTCTTTCCTAGTGTGGGCAAAGGGCGAGTCAGTTCCCGGGTAACCATATGACTACCAGTGCTGCAGTAAGACGACGTCGTACTGCTCGGCGTCGGCCAGGGCGAGGGCACTGTCATGCGCCGGTGGGATCTTGCCAACATTGGCCTGGAAAACGTGTCAGACAATTGGGTCCACAGGGATCACAGCTGACATCGTAGTAATTGATGAGAATTATCTTAAAGAGCTAATTGTAAGTGCACGACAGTGCGCCGCTCTTGATACACAAAGGAAAGTTTTGCTTTGTGGTGCAAAGTCCTTGTAACCGAGGCTGCTGGTGTGCTTTGACACCAACGGGGTCCAAGCACCATGCATGCTGCAGGTGCTCGACCTTAATACTCGGGTGTCAGACAATCTTGTCCACGTCGTCCATATTTGGCATACAGTCAATTGATGAGAAATATCTTGAAGAGCTATCTGTAAGCGCACGACAGTGCGCTGCTCTTTATACACAAAGGAAAGATTTGCTTTTGTGGTGCAGAGTTCCTGCAATTGAAGCTGCCGTGCGGATATATGCAACCAGTGTTTGAGCTTTGACTTCAATGAAGTCAAAGCACAACGCATGCAGGCGCTCGACCTTAATACACGGATTATAGCACTGGCTTCCGCGGACAAATATTCTGCGTGCAGCATTATGCAACATAATACATAATGCTGGTTCTCTGTGCGACATCGGGTTATAGAGTCGCACTTCCGCGACAACTATCGGGCGCGGATTGCATAGGCATAAGACTGGCTCCCTGTGCGACAAAACGCGAATGGTCTTCCTTCCGGTCTGGCTTCTATGGTGTCCTGTCATATGGATGATGCGGTTGGGTTGGCACGGTTGAGACGCTTTCTCTTTAGCGGAGGTTTTCCCGGTCTTCGTGCCTTTTCCCTGTCAGCGTGCCCCCCGTCTTGGTGGAACCAGACCGGGGGCTCGACTCATTAGGGCCCCTAGTACAGAGCCGACGACACAGCCATGGCAATCACTGCAGCCGGACAATATACGAAGCAGGGCGTCGTATTAATAATGCCCCTCTCCCACAAACAGCCAAGCAACTTCCTCACGTCTACGGGCTATACGTTCAGTCGGACAGAGTAGACGCCTCGCTCGATGCTATTCACCAACACATACCCGCTGTTGAAATAGGGATAGACCGACCAGGCCCCATTAAACGTCACCTCGCCACCCTTGTCGTCATCTTCAGGCCGCACGTCGAAGAAACCGATCTCCTCGAACTGGGATCCCGAGTCGTCCTCAACGATCGACGTGACATTAACCACACGCAGGCCCGAGCCGTAGTTGCTTTGGTACGCGATGCCGTCGATGACGTACTGGTTGTGGTCGATGGACTTGACGGGGCTCTTGTACACGCCCGTGAAGATCGGGTTGCGCAGATCAGACCCGTCGACAATGTACGTCGCGGTGTGGCCGTCGGCCGCCGGCCCCGAGCCGTTCTGCTCGTCCAGTTCATCGTCGAGCAAGAGGTACCGCATGTCCTTTGTCGCCAACCAACCTTGGTGCGTATACGTCGCGCCATTGTATGTGGTGCGCGAAAGCTGCACCGGCCGTGCGCGCCTCGTAATGTCCACGATGGTCAGGCTGTCTTCATTGTAGCAGTAGCAGATCTCCCGGCCCTGGAAGTCCCTCTGCGGTCCACGGTAGATGACGCACTGCGCGTCGTGAACGTACCCGTCCTGAGCCACACAGCCGTTGTCCTGCGGGCGGCGCGGGTTCGATACGTCAATCATCCACAGGCCGCCGCGGCACTTCTCGTTGCGCGCCGTCCCCACGGCGAAGATGGTGTCCGTCTCCTCGTTGGCCACGATGTTGTGACTGCTGCCGAAGCCAGTGAAGTGCGCGGCGAGGTCGCTGCGCGTGCTGTAGCTCGGTGGGTTCTTGGGGTCCGCTTTGAGCAGCTTGGTCAGGTCGAAGATCTGAAGCCCGTGGTCTGGCGCTTCAGACCCGATGTAGGCGTGGTTCTTGACGACCTTGATGTCGCGCCACGTCGACGGCTCTGTCTGCGTGTTGAGGCGCCCGACATACTGCAGGCTTCCGTCCTTGAGCACCTCGACAAAGGCAGTACCATCGGCCTGGCCCACGATGGCGAACTCGCGGCCGTTGGAGGCAGTCCAGCCTGAATCGATCGTCAGTGTTCACGGTCAAATGGTTTGGCATAGATGTCCACCTACCCCAGATGTCGTTCCCGCGGCGCGAACGGCTCTGCAAGTCTTGATGACGCAGGAAGCCCTTGAGGTCGACCTTGTTGCACGAGTACTCGCCCGCCTTGCCACTGGCACACGACGTGGCGCCCTGGAGGGTATACTTGTCCTTGGCAAAGGCGCCCGCTTGCTCATCCCGCGCAAACTGGTCAAGCTTCTTCTGCTTGAGAACCTCCATTGAGACGGCGTTGGGGGCGTTGTATGCCTTGAGGTCGGCCGGACCAAATGCTGCCCCGGCGCGAGGGGCCTTGGTTCCCGGCCGAGCCAGCGCGGTGCCGGCCAAGGCCGTGAGGAGTATCGATGTAATTGGCGCCTTCATCTTGTGTCGTCACCAGTAAAGAGACTTGAGGAGAGTATGGCATGTAACCCTCACGAGCTGAACTTCGTCCTCGCGGTTCCCTCTTTATACACCCCGGCGAAGGCCAAGGCTGCGCTTGGCAGCTGGCCATGTTTACAAAAGACCTTCTCGACGAACCTGGAGAACTGATGACGAAGACTCACTTGCATGTTTTGGGTAGGTGACCGTAGGTCGATAAGCAACCTTGAAGGCGCGAGTGTCCCCGCAAGGTAGTATCCTGGCTGGGGCGGTGCAACGCGTCTGGACGTGCCAGGCCGGGGTTGTCTAGTAAAGGTATGATCGGCACGTATACTCACATTGGTATGGCTAACTGTGGATGGCTCGGGCAGCGTGGTATTCGGCGGGTTCTTCCAACGCAACACCACGGAGGGGCCGGTCCATCTTGAGCGAGGGCTGATGACGTGCCGAGCCTGGTTTGCCGACGCGGGGAACGATCTCGCTAGGGGCGAGACTGTAGCTCGATGAGCGGGACGTGAGTCAATGCCGAAGTCAGTTGAAACCGAAACACAAATTAGGCGCACCTAAGGAAGGACGTAGACGTAGAGCACTCAACTCGCCGTACTGTCAGTTCACCTCGAATACTAACCAAAGCGCACAGCTAACAAATCACGACAGCACTGGATCCAAAGACATCGCACCGCAACTCCACCGATGCCCCAGTCTGACGTTGCTTTGCCGGCGTGTACACATCACATCACCACGGAAGAATTACCACGGCTACTACCAACATTGGTAGTTGTGGATGTCCTGATATGCTTACCCAAACCCAAAGTCTTGACGCCTTCCCCTTCGCGCTAGGCGGCCCCCGCACGAGAGGGTGGCGCGCCTTCAAGATCACCCCGGAACCTCAGGATAAGCTTGCGAATCGAAAGAGATGGATTTGTGTAAGCATTCGGCACGCACCTGGCCCTGCCCCTGTCCGGGCGAGCCTATCGACAGTGCAATCGCAGCCGGGTCGGCAGTCCCACCCCCGCGCCCATAGGGCCGCCTAACCCAATCACCAAAAACAAATCCGGCAAAATATGTGGCGTTATACGAACCACCCCTTCGGTAGGTCCAACGTCACCGCACCGTGGCACATTGCCCGCAGCATGCGCAGTTCTTGGTACCCGCGTCGACTCCATTATGCTCGCCGGGGTCTTTTCCTAATAGGGAAGATCATTGAGAGGAACCGCGCCACACCTGAAAGTATTAAGGTCTCTGCGAGAGGGAACGACAATTTGGTCGAAATAGGAAAGAGGCGGCCAAACGTAAGCTTGGTTGCTAGCGTGGTTGCATGGTCGGCAATCATCCGAGCTTGACAAGGAGCCCTGCGCCAACCCAAACCAGCTGCGCAGTTCGCAGGGTTGTCAGGGGCTGTGCAGATTCTGCTATAGCGTGGGCTTGTTTGTCATGGCGAGCAGAACACCCGACGGGTGTAAGAGATGCGCCTCCAACTTGGGTAGACCCCCAGACAACACCACTATGGACAGTCGTGGGCAGGATGTGGGTGTCGATATTGCAAGACTACGTCTCTTGTACAGTACAGTATTAGTCGGGGTTTCAGTTTGAAAGAAGTCATTTCTCAGTGTTTATGCAGTAACGTACACCACAAGCGAGTGCGCCACCCAAGCGAGTGAGCCACCTTCCAAGGAAACGCGAACAAAATCTTCCATTAACGTACCCGGCAAGCTACTGGGCCAGGCCAGCGAGTGGGCCACCTCAAAATCCCATACAAATCATCATTTTCAAGCCCCTTACTGTACAAAAACCACTAACGTAATCCACCACCGAGTGCGCCACACCACCGAGTGAGCCACTTTCTACTGCAACACGTATATAATCTTCAACCAAACCACCATAAAATGAAGTACCTACAATAATTACATTTAGTTTGATACATTAGACCCTTCCGTAGCATTCTGGCACGTTCGTACGTTATGGC